ATTCAGTTGCACTTAGCACATTCACAACGTTGTACAATTATCACCTCTAATTAATTCCCAAACATTTTCATCACCCCCAAAGGAGATCCCACACCCATTAAACAGTGACTTCCCATTCCCTCCTCCCTGCCAACCCCCGGCACCATGAAACCATTTTCTGTCTCTACAGACTTGCCTATTCTGGACTCATACTCTGTATAAATGAAATCATACAACCTGTGACCTCTTCTGCCTGGCTTCATTCACTTACATTTTCAAGGTTTATCCACGTTGTAATGTGTATCAGTACTTAATTCTTTTCTATGGCAGAATAATATTCCATTGTACAGATATGCCATATTTTATTTACCTGCTCATTGATTTGTGGACATTTGGGTAGTTTCTACATTTGGGGTATTGTGAATAAAGCTGCTATGAGCATTCATGTACAAGTATTTATCTGAACCCCAGTTCTCAATTCTCTTGGATAAATACCTGGGAGTGGAATTTCTGGGTCATGTGATAATTCTATATTTAACATTTTGAGGAACCAGAAACTGTTTCTCATACCCAATTACTTTGTCAGCTTATTCTTTTTTTTTTTCTTTTGAGATGGGTTCTCACTATGTCACCCTTGGTAGAGTGCCATGATGTCATAACTCACAGCAATCTCAAACTCTTGGGCTTGAGTGATTCTCTTGCCTCAGCCTCCCTACTAGCTGAGACTACAGGTGTCTGCCACAACACCCAGCTATCCTTTGTTGCAGTTGTCATTGTTGTTTAGCTGGCCTGGGCCAGGTTTGAACCTGCTAGCCTCTGTGTATGTGGCTGGCGCTGTACCACTGTGCTACAGGCACTGAGCCTGTCAGCTTATTCTTTTTTTGGAGGGGGGCAGAATCTCACTATGTCACTCTCGGTAGAGTGCTATGGTGTCATAGCTCACAGCAACCTCAGACTCTTGGGCTTGAACAATCCTATTGCCTCAGCCTCCCAATTAACTGGGACTATAGGCGTCTGCTACTATGCCTGGCTAATTTATCTATTTTTTAGTAGAGATGGGATCTCACTCTTGCTCAGGTTGGTCTTGAACTCCTGAGTTCAAGCAATTTTCCTGCCTTAGCTAGTCCTAGAATTACAGATGTGAGCCACCAGATCCGGCTATCAGCCTATATTCCTTTTTTTTTTTTTTTTTTTTTTTTGAGGCAGAGTCTCATTATGTTGCCCTTGGTAGAGTGTTACAGAGCAACCTCCAACTCTGGGGCTTACGCAATTCTCTTGCCTCAGCCTCCCAAGTAGCTGGGACTGCAGGTGCCCACCACAACACTTGGTTATTTTTTTATTGTTGCAGTTGTTTAGCTGTTGTTTAACTGGCCCGGGCTGGGTTTGAACCTGCTACCTCGGTGTATGTGGCTGGTGCCATAACCACTGTGCTATGGGTGCCATGCCTCAGCCTATATTCTTAATGCAGCCACCATCGTGATCATTTAAGACATGAGCAAAATTATGTTTCCTCTGCCTAAAACCTTCAATGACTACCATCTCATCAAAGTAAAAGCATAAGACATCACAATGGCCTGCATGACCCTATACTATCTGGTTTCTTGCTCCCTCCCAGACATGATCTTTCAACACACTCTCATTCACTCACTCTTGGCTTTCTTGCTGTTACTTAGATGTGTCAGGCATGTTCCCAGAACGAGGCCTTTGTACTCATTGTTTGCTCTTCTTGAAATGCTCTACTTCTGTACCCACAAGCCTACCTCATTCACTTGCTTCAGGTCTCCGGGCTGTCAGCTTTTCTGAGACACCATCCCTGATCATTCCACCCTCTGTACTCTGCTTTATTTTCTCTGAGCAATCACCCCTGACATTTTATTTATTTACTAAATGTTATTATTTGTCTCCCTTTCACCAGGGCGTGGATTTTCTGTTTGATGACCCATGTATCTACCCTTTAGCACCCAGAAAAATTCCTGGAATATAACAGTTGCTGAATAAATGCTTGATGAGTGAATAAATAAATAACTCAATGAATGGAATGAACTCTACTTGCAGAGGAAGACAGTGAAGTTCACAGAAGAAGCATGACTTGTGGGAGGTCCCACAGCTGGTGAGGGGAAGCCTTGGAATTCGAATCTGCATCCTTCTGATTGCAAAGCCCAAGTTCTTTTTTTTTTTTGCAGTTTTTGGCCAGGGATGGGTTTGAACCCGCCACCTCCGGCATATGGGGCTGGCACCCCACTCCTTTGAGCCACAGGCACCGCCCAAAGCCCAAGTTTTTTATTGGGACTTTTTTTGAACTTTATATCTGGGCCTCAAAAAACCCCTAAATGTTAGCTTTTTAGCAATACCCAGTTTGCAAGTGAGAAAACTCATACATAGAAAGGGAAAGGGGCTCCGCAACCCCGTTGGTAGCACTTCAAGACTGGAGATTATGTTTCAGGGATGGGATTCTCTGGCAAACAACAAACACCCAATAAATGCATGATGATTGTGTTCAGGATATAGTTAAGCTCATGCAAGTTTCAGGGCTCCTGGTTTGCACAGAGCCTTCTTAGGCCCTTAGAGGTGCCCTAGCAATATGTTCCTGTAGTCTGATGTTCTTGTACAATTTGCAAAAGGAAGATATTTAAAATGCAATGGGTTAAGAACATTCTCTTTTTCCATTCCTGGTTCCCCATTGTTGCACTTGCCTTTGCCATGGGTGCTGTTAGAGAAGCCTTAGGCATTTGTGGGATTTAGCTGAGGGGAAAATGTGTTGAGGTTACATTTAAATTGGGTTTTAAGGTATGTTTTTATGTGGATCACAGACACTTCCAGGTACACTTAAGCTACCTAATTAGTTGTCCTGGTGTAGGAATGATCTTACTGTCCAAGGTGCTAACTCACTAGATGCAAGGCCATAACAGTCTTCTGTGTCTTTATGTTTTGTTTTGAGACATAGTCTCACTATATGCCCTGGGTGTCATATAGTGGTGTGGTGTCATAGCTTACAGCAACCTCAAACTCCTGGGCTAGAGGGAGCCTATTGTCTCAGCCTCCCAAGTAGCTGGAACTACAGGTGCCCACAATGCCTGGCTAGTTATACTATTTTTAGTAGAGATGGGATCTCACTCTTGTTCAGGCTGGTCTCAAATTTCTGAGCTCAGTCAGGTTATCCACCTGCCTCGGGTTCTCAGAGTGCTGTGATTACAGGTCATGAGCCACTGAGCCTGGACTTCTTCTTCTTTTTTTTTTTTTTCAAGACAGGGTCTTGCTCTGTCACTCAGGGCTGGATCATAGCTCACTGCAGCCTCTGATGCCTCAGCCTCCTTTGTAGCTGGGACTACAGGTGTGCACCATTTTTTTAAGCTAATTTTTCCTCTTTTGTAGAGATGGAGTCTTGCTGTGTTGGCCAAGCTGGTCTCTAATTTCTGGCTTTAAGTGATCCTCCTGCCTTGGCTTACCAAAGTGCTGGGATTACAGGCATGAGCCACCATGTCTGGCCACTGAATGTGTCTTTTAGTGCTGCAGTCCCTAATCCTTGTGGTGCAAAGTGGTACTGGTCCATGCCTGTTATAAACTGGGCCTAACAGCAGGAGGGTGGCAGGCCAAGTAAGCAAAGCTTTATCTGCATTTATGGCCACTTGCTATCACTTGTATCACTACCTGAGCTCTGCCTCCTGTCATATAAGGCAGCATTAGATTCTCACAGGAACATGAACCCTACTATAAACTTCACATGCAAGGGATCTAGGTTGGGTGCTCCTTATAAGAATCTAATGCCTGATGATCTGAAATGGAGATGTAATCCACTTGAATCATCCCATAACTATCTGCCCCTGTCCCTTCCCCCTCTGTCTATGAAAAATTGTCCTTCATGAAACAGGTCTCTAGTGCCAAAAAGATTGAGGACCACTGTTTTAGTAGCTGCCTCTAGAAGCATCTGTATAATGAAGGTGTCAAGAATTGAAAGCACTGAGCTAGAAATTAGTCTGTGGGAACATTTTCCAAAACGTATAGTTTGAAAAAACATATGAATAAAACTTCATGATAATTTCCCCAAATTTCCACAAAATTTAGATAACATTACTGACTTGTGAAGCTGAAACTTGTTCTAAATTATAACAAATAAAAAAATTGTCATCAGCCATGCCAGGGGAAAGATAATTTACATTTTTCTTCTCTCTGTAGATAAGAGTGTTATGAAATGTATATGTAGCCCCAAATATAGGAAACATCACAGAGGCGCATCGGGCAGCAAATTAATAAAAGCATTACGTTACCTTTTGGGATTTTGAAATGTTAGCCTTTTTAAGTATGTAATTTGTTATTATTTCGTTGTCTAATTTTCACGTTCATATCCAAATTTGTTTGTGTTTTTGCTTTCCTTTTTCGTAAAGAGGGCCCACCCATTCAATTCTTTAAACTGGATCCGTTGTTAATGACTCATTGGCTTAAAGTAGGGGTGGTTCACAGCTGTGTGGTTCCCACCTAGTGGCTACACCTCTCTGAGCCGTTTTCCTTACTGGAAAAATAATGCCTACTCTGCAAGGTTGTTTTGAACTTTAAGTAAGCCAAGGCCTGCAAAGTGCTTTCTGCAGCCTCGTAACGCACTAGCGAAGATAAACCCCAACCTGTCTTTATGTTTAGAACTTTCCGGCAGCTTCCAGACCCGCAGCCAAGACCCTACAGTGCGCATGTACACCGACTCTCTAGTCGCCCCGCCCCTCTATGTGGGCGTGACCCACCCTGCTGCAGGGGGTGGTGGGCGGGGTCAACGAGCTACTTCCGGGATTATATCACTCCCACTCCGAGGAGCAGCCCTCTTGTATGACTGGCAGCATTGTTAACCATTAACGATTGGGGTGGCGACCCTTTACGGACTGCCTCTTCCAAGTTGGCCAATTGCAAGCTTTGGAGGGCGGGTTCTCCTCTGGGGCAGAGTGACGGGCATCTGCTTTGGCTAATGGGAGCTTGGCTGGGAGTTTGCTAGGCCCGATCAGGAGCGGGAAGGCCGGAGCCTGGGGCGGGGCTGGAGCTTCGGCAGTTGAACCGCTCGCGAGGAGGGGTGTCTGTGGAGAAGGTGAGAGGCGGCGGGAGTGGCGGGTGCACGGGCCGGGGCGGCGGTCCTGGGGGGGAGGGGTCCTCTGCGGGAGAGTGGGCTGCGGTGGGCAGCTGACCCGGCTGTGGGAATCGGGAGGGAGGATGCCCTTTAGCAGGGGTAGGCGCCCGAATAAGGAGTTGTGGGGCAGAGCACAGTGTGTGAATCGGGGATGTTCTGTATTCGTAGGAGGGTCTTTAATGGGGAAAGTTGTAAGGCAGGAGACATTGGATGGCAAAATAAAGAGACGCCCTTGTGTAGCGTTGTGATTTAATAGGTTTTAATGTCGAGGTTATTATAGCGCAGAATGGAAGGGCAGACATTCCTGCGATGAGCTCTAAGCTCCGACTTAGGTGGAAGGCAAGTGAAGAAGCGATATTTAGGAGAGAGGGAGAAAGACCTCAAGGAATGAGGCTGTGCTTTCGTGAAATGTGAGGGCCCATTGTACATGTAGCGTTTACTACGTGCCAGACACTTACCAGCGTTTTTCATGGATAAACTCTTAATCTTAACCCAGCCGGGGTGTGGGCTCTGTGGCCGGGTTGCCTGAATTTGAATCCTATTTCTGCTACTGGTCCTACCACTGAACTTTGCTGTGGCTTTGGGCGAGTTTTTTAACCTTTTGAGCCCCAGTTTCATCACAAAGGAATGACCGCATTTCTACACCACTCATTAGCTTCACCCTCTTTATATAATGATAAACTCCCAGGTGTCTATTTCCAGCCTGGATCTCTGTCCCAAACTTCATATGCATATGTCCAATGGCCAACTCTTCTCTGCTTGACATTTCAGCTGACATCCAGACTTGTCCCAAACCAAACTTGTGGTCTCCCCCCCACCTTCAACCTCCAAACCCAGTTGATGGTAAATCATCCTTCCAAGTGCTCAAGACAAATACCTTAGAGTTGTCTTTCCCTCCCTTTTCTGTTACCTACATATGATCTATCATCAGCTATCCCATTAGCTCTGCCTTTAAAACACATCCAATATCCAACCATGTTTCACACCTCCCTGGCTATCTCACTCTGGTCTAAGCCATCTGCTCTTACCTGGTATGTTGCAGTGGCTTCCTTATTCGGCCTCTTGCCTCTGCCATTGACAGGAGGAGCCTGTCTGTTCAAGTCTTTTTATCACATCTTTCATACCAAGTCCTCCCCTTGCCCACAAGGCCCCATCGAATCCAGCTTCCTCTTCTGCCCTCTGCTCACCTGTCACTCTGTACCCCTTAATCACACTGCTGCA